AGGAAGGCAAATACTGTAATGATATCATTTATATGCAGAATCTAAGAAAGCTGAACCCGTAAAAACAAAGAGTAGAAAGGCGGTTGGTTACCAGGGGCTGGGGAGTGGAGGAAATGGGGAGATGCTGATAAAAGGCTACAAACATAGAAAAGGAATAAGTTCTGGAGATCTAATGCACAGTGCAGTGATTATAGTTAATCATAATGTATTATATACTTGAAAATTGCTAAAAGACTAGATCTTAATTGTTCTTACTACAAAAAAGAAATAATTATGTGACATGATGGAGGTGCTGGCTAGCATGATGGTGGTTGTCATACACTATATAAATGTATCAAATCAACACACTACACCTTAAACTTACCCTATGTTATATGCCAACTATACCCCAATAACAAAAGAATAATGCAGGTTATTGCTGTGGGAGAGTCTGGGAGTTTTAAGCTTCTGATTAACAAAAATCAATCTGAGATTGGATTGGAATCTGACTGCCTGTCCTCCACCTCCCAAAGGAATCACATTCTTAAATGTATATTCTTTTAGAGTGTACGCTTCTGTAAATGGACTCTGACCTCATGGCTCAGAGGGTTTCCAAGCCCTGTTGCAGCCCAGCTCCTCAGGTACAGAATTTCAGTCTTCAGAAGATGGCCCATGTTCCATATGCTGGAATGGGGCGCCCCCTGAGGCACCCCAGCCCGTTCTGGCCCCATCCTCAGCTGGCCTGTGTGTCTGGCCAAGTGCCCAAGGAGACCAATTTTGGAAGAAATGTTTTCATGAGAGCTGTACGCAGGCGAGTCTCCATTCTGGCCTTTCTCGTTCGTCTGTCGGAGATCCTTCACGCCCCCTGGTGGTGTGAGCAGCAGAAAGAACGGGCTGCCTAGATTGCCTTTCCGGGCTGCCCTACGCTTCTCAGAGCCATCTTTGTTCAAGGCAAGTGAGCGCTGGAAACAAACAAAAGCCCCTTCCGGATAGTCATCTACTACTCCCCAGCGACGGAAACTTTTTAACAAGTCAAAGTTCACCGTAAAAAAAAGTATTTGTGCACATTTGATGGAAAATAAAAAGGGACCTTTGGCAGGGCTGCACCTCGCTGTCCTCCAGGGCAGCCTTCTCAGTGTGCTCGGTGTGGACGGCACCCGGAGCCCAGCAGATGTGAGGGCCCCGCCTGGCATGGCCGAGCACAGCCACTCTGCAGTGCTGCTATGTTTTCTTAGGTGCTGAACCAGGGCTGGGGCGTGCAGGAGTCTTTGGATACAGAGCAGCTGCCAGGCGTGCTTGTAGCAGAAAGGGTCCTGACTTCTACTCGGCACTGTGGCCCTGGCTTAGTGCCCATAGGAGAGGGCTGCCCACACTGTTCTTCCTGACAGCACACGACGACTGAAAGGGAAATGAGCAGAGACCCTTGTGACTTTGGCCTTGCCCTGCACCATCACATTTCTTCTGGGAGCTGTCATGATATCGTGGATGGGGCACTGGCTTTGGAATCAAACAGCTGCCCCTCCAGAAGCCATCTGTTAGTTGTGTGACCTTGAAAAATTAACATAGCCCCTCTGATCACGTTTTCATCTGCAAACAGGGTTAATGATACAACTTGATCATGAAGAGGCTGAGGGCAGAGGTGCCAATAAAAAGTCAGAATTCTTTGACCAGCTTCAGGACCTGAATGAATTTCAGACTCGGAGACTTTGGCCTGAAGGAAAGGCCAGGTCCTCAGGAAGAAGTAACCCGCAACATCGAGGCAAGCCTATATGACCGTGATTACCCCTGTCCATCTACAAAGGGACCAGCAGACATTGACTTGGGTAACTATACCCTGGGGAAAGGAAATACCCCAATATTTTGAGAATTGTTGGATACAAGGTCAGAGCTGACAATGATATCCAGCCTGACACAAAACGTGGTCCCCCAGTAGAGTGAATGTGTATGGGGGCCAGGCAATAGAGGGACACCTGGCCTGGCTCCACTTCACAGAGGGAGGGTCTAGTTGGTCAGGGACCAACCCAATGGTTATGTCCCTGGTTCCTGAGTGTGTAACTGAAATAGATAATACTTGGAAGTTGCCAGAACACCCACACATCCACATTGGTTCTTTGGCCTGTGAATAAAAAGTGGGGAAGGACAAGTGGGAGCCTCTGAAGCTGCCCCTACACTCCTCCTCTGAGCAAGACTGCGAATGACAAACATCCCAAGGCAAAGAGCAGAAACTAGTGCCACCCTTAGAGACCTACAGGAAGCAGAGTGCTGATGCCCATCAGTTTCCACTGAACTCGTTGGTCTAGCCCCTACAGAAATTAGATCCTGGAAGATGTCAGCAGAGTACCTCAAGCTCCATCAACTTGCAGTGCCAACTGCAGCTGCCAGATGTGGTACAAGCCACACCACAGCGGCTGGTCTGGAAGCAGCAGATGATGCTCAGGGTCTCTCTTCTCTGCTGTCCATGCTAGATTCCCCTCACCCTTGGTTAGCCCTTGTGACAGACAATACACTAAAGGAATAAATGCCACAGTATGTTAGATGATGAGAATGCTATGGAAAAATTAAGTAAGGGGAGGAATGCCTGCAATTCTGAACAGGTTACAGGGTAGGCTTCACGGAGGTGACATTTGAACATCTTGAAGGAGGTGAGGAGTGATTATCTTCTGAGCAAGAGCACTCTACAGATAGAACAGCAAGTGACAAGGCCCTGGGGCTGCTTCATGTCTGGAAAATTACAGGAACTAGCAAGGTTAGTGTCTGATGTCAAAAAGGTAGCATGTGGCCAAATGTGCAGAGCCTTAGAGATCATTATTATAAGGACTTTGGCTTTTACCTAGGATGAGATGGGAGCTGCTGGAGGGCTTTGAGGTAAGAAGTAATATTATTTGACAGGTTCACTCTGATTACTGTGCTGAGAATAGCCTGTAGGGAGGCAAAGCAAGAGAGAATGGTGGTTGAACTGACATGACATTGGCAAATGTGGTGAGAAGGGTGCAGGTTCTGGATATATTTTAAGGAGAGATTCCATAGGATTTGCTAACAGATGGGGTGCCAGGTACAAGAGAAAATAATGACTCAAGTTTTTGGCCAAAGCAACTGGAAGGATGGAGTCTCTAATTTACCAAGATGGATAAATCTGGGGAAGGAAGAGTTTAATGGGGACAAGATCAGGAGTACTATTTGAAATATGCTGAGGTGGAGGTGTCCTTTAGAGAGCCACGGGACTAGGTGTTGGATACAGGAGTCTGGACTTCAGGAAAGGAATCATCAGCCAATTGATAGCCTTGGGGAGCCCTGAGTTTCAATGAGAAAACAAGGAATGGGATGGGGATAGAAAAGGGCCCTGGGTCCCTTGAACATTGAAGATCCAGGAGAGGAGGAGAAATGAGGTAAGGAGCAGAAAAGCTGAAGAAGAGGTGAGTAAGGAAAACCACATGCGTGTGATGTCCTGAAGGCCAAGTGACAAAGGGTTTCAGGCAGGGGAGAGTGGTCAATGATGCAGGATCAAGGCAGATAACTGCTGGTTAGTGATCATTGTGTTCTAGAACCCGATTTGCCTGATTCCCAATCTCGCTGTGCTACTAGTCTCCTTTAGGTATCAGTAGACACTGAGAAAGTCAGATCCGAAATATTAAGCAATCTTTCAACACTGGCTTATTGGTTTATTATGGAAGTCCTAAATTAAACCAAGTTTGTCCCCACATGAAGGTGTGCCTGATACAAATGCTTGCTTTCTGATGGTTCGATTCAGCCAAAGCTTAAGGCTCCAACTGAACATGAAGAAAGAAGAGTGGCCTAAAAACTCCTTACACTCACAAGATAACCCACTCACACCCTACTCCTAGTGAGATCAGGCCCAGGGCATGTATCCTATTTCCCTTCTTGGTCTCTAACTCGTATTGGAGTAGTTTATATAAACACATCAACAATTTAGTTGAGCCTAATATAACTTTCCTGTCAAGTTCACCTTTATGGATACGACCTTTAGATGCATTTTAAGCCTTTAAGAGGGGAGACGGTGGAACTGATGTAAGAACAACAGAAGAGCGTGTCACAGGGGTGTTACCACACCTTCCTGTGTGTGTCCTCTGAGTGCCGTGAGGGGGATGCATGTGGGTAATGTCTCCCCATATACGTGGCGGGGGGGCTTTGCCACTTGCAGATGGGACCTAGACAGCAAAACACCTATTGGAGAGAGCACCAAGGTGAGCCAGGAGCCTTCTTTTACCTTTCTTGAATGCTTACATTCAACATTATGGACATTGCTATTCTGTACATTATGTATATTCTATAAACTATGGAAAATGTGATTCTGAACACTGAGCAATATGCACTGGCCTAGCCTTCCACATTTTGAGCTCCTTAGACTTGAAACTAGGGTGTCTGGTAAGCTGCATCTGAAGGGTTAAGCTGGCTCCAGGCAGTCCCTAGACATTCAGGGTAGGGGGTTTCTGGCCGCCCAAATGTTAGGGGTTGGCTGAAAGTGAGCTCTAGGGATCCTCCTTGTGGCTGACCTAAGATTTTCTCTAGAACTGGTCTTCCAGTCATTCTACCAGCTAGGGAAAGCACGGAAAACAAAAGCAATACACTCATATAGAATATGTAGGTTTGTTAGAATTAAAGCCTATCAATCAAGAATAGATCTCTATTATTCAAGTTTTAGTGTACCTTCAGAAAAAGTTTAGTTTGGTTGAATTAAGTCAAAGAGTTAAAGATATCAGAACAATACACTTGCTCTGTCTGTATTTCTAAGAAACATTAAAAATTATAATAACAAAATCTCTATTATAAGTTTTAGAATACCACACATACACTGAAAAGTGTATTTTTAACAATGTCAGAAAACTCAATTCTTTTATATATAGTTATAATAGAATTAAGACTCTGGTTTGATCCTCTCACAATGAAAATTAGGTATAGCTTTTACTGTGTTTAAATAATTTTACACTATTAAAATGTTTTCAAGGAGTCCACTGGCCTGAAAAATATATATATATCCTGACACGTTGATTAAAAATTAAAGGTTATTTTTACACTTTCCTTTATTGACTAGAAATATGACTTTGAGACTGTATATATTTCCCCTGAGACATCTGTTTTCCTTGGTACACACATTAAATAGCACATAAGAAAAAGTCTTGGTTGTCATGAAATCATACAGTATAAAAACACAGGACACAGCAGGATAAAATGTAACCTTAGGACATTAAATATTTCGGCTCTTAAACTACAAAGGGACCCCACAGGAGGGGTAGTACTGACTTCCCCGAGCATCCCTGAAACCCTGAGTTCGGCCTTTAATACCCCTGGCCTCTAAAGGAAATAAAGTGCCTTAGGGTTCGCTGATTCTACGACTTGAGGCAGGAAAACAAGTAAAAAGGGTCTGAAACATGCTGTTGTCTTCAGATAGCATGAATGCTTAAGTCAGAGTCCTTAAACGACATTGGTGCCAACATGAAGAGACTTCCTATTGACCAAGTTGTAAGAATCTGAGCATCAAATCCAAGCACAGAGGTAATCATAACACAAAACTAAGCTGCGATAGAAGTTTAATTTTTGTAGTAAGTAGGGGAGCATTCATATTGACTGTTTTATTTCTTCTAAATATTATGTTTATAATATTTACATATGTAGTTATTTCTCTCTGGGTAAGTGCTGAAGAATAAACACATGGAACTTGTAATTTGATTAAATGATTCTGGCAGAAGGTACTAAAAAATATAGGGTGGATTTATTAGCACAAATAATAGGATGTATAGTGAGTACAGATAAGAAGCAGGTAGAAGATGGCATAGATGGTCATGCACAATAACTAAGGAAGACAATTTAACTCTGTATTTTATTTATTCATTTTCATTTTTTAAAAAAACTGAAGTATAGTCAACATTGTATTTTAAAAGATGAGTTACTCAGTGACCTAAAGAGACAACTACTTTAGACTAAATGCTCTAGAATTGAGATTGAAACGCAAAATGACAGCTCTAGAATGCAACCGTATTAAGTCATAGAACAAAATACCCTGAATGGCAAACCAGTAGGTTAGGTACTATCCATGCCAAGCTTAATGCATCGTTACTGCAAAAGATACCATGTTTTAAAGACAAAGATTTATAAGAAAGGGACATAAAAGTTTACCATAAAAAAAAAAAGACAGCTCAACACTGTGGCTCAGGTTTGAATTACCCTAGTCTACACAATCAGACCATGTCTAGACCAAGAATCAACAGGTCAATAACCCCTATCGTTTCCTTTTCCTTTAATTCTAGCAAAAATGCTAAAAACCTAGGTAAGTACTAATACTGAAAGATTAGGAATATATCACATTAAGAATCACACTACACTGGGAAATTATTAAGTAAGTACAGAAGTAATGAAGAAATTGCCTAAACCATAGTCTTGCTGTTTTAGGATAAATTTAAGTGATTGTGCAGTAATAACTTGTATAATCAATGCTTGTGTATGTCTTTTATCAGCTGTTTAAAGTGTCTGAAGATTCAAAACACTCATCCACTCTAAATTTGTACTCATAGTTTAAAAATTTTCAGAAAACTTAAGTTAATTTTGAAATTAATTTTTAAATGCTCAAGAAAAATTGGGGTTCCTAAATTTTTTTCTTAATGAATTTAATAAAGTGGTCATTAAACAAAGTAATATAATTTTGTGTCCCATCATGTCCAAAAGTCCTTCAGACAATGAAAGAATGTATTTCCCAAATTCATACTTCAGAAGAGAAAGTGTATAGTTATGAAACCCTAACAACCCTTGCTAGAATCTAAGAGAAGTGATTCTAAAAGCACTTACGAAGGACAAAGCTTGAGTTGTCTCTTCCTACCAAACACAGTCATTGCTTGGTTTTAAAGACAAATGAATTATAACTTAGTAGGCATCACGTTTCCATATGAACCAGTTGGGTAAATGCTGTGATATATGACTCAGACAACTGCACACACTCTTCTTCCAACCACAAGATTTAAACTGTGTTGAAGGTGAGTCCCCAGGACATAAACAAGAATCTGAAGCACAAACTGTTGGCTTGAGAAAGAAAGGAAAACTCAAAAGGTCAAAATCTCAAGAAAGCTACTACTTGGCCAGTTGCCAGATCTTTAAGACTATCATGGAACTGTGATAATGCCTCTCAAAGAAAAAACAGCATTAGTCACATTTAATCTGAAACATGAGAATAAACACAAAAAATTTAGAAAATCATATGATTTTGGCAAGTCACAATATTTACCACACTCAGCACATCTTGGGTGAAAGAAAAAAACAAAAAGGAAAAAATAGAAAACGAATTCCTCTGACCTGTTAGCTTTATGAGCACTAACCTTTCTGGCATTTGTTCCTGAGTGAATGAAAGAACCCATCTCAGGAAGACTCATCCCTAAAAAATAAAAACTAACATCTTTGGGAATATAAGTACTTTGTTTGCAAAATCAAGCACAATTATCAATTAATTCAACTCAAGCGCTGCTATCACACGAGTCTACACTGATTGCACAGCTTTTCAAGTCATGAAGATAAACCTGAGTCTATAAAACCTGACGGGGAGCTGGTGTTCAGAGTGGCACTCAGCATGGCTAACAGTTCTGTACGTATATAAACACCACGCTGACGACCTGAAGGTGCTCGGTTGAGTGGAGGAGCATGAAATTTGACCGGAAAGCTTTTCATGGTTATGGCTTTTTTCTCATTTCTTCATCCCAGTCAAAATCTAATGGCTCATCATCGAGTTCTGGTAAAGTGAAGAGAGATTTTCTGGAAAGACTCAATCTCTCAGTGGATCCCTCCAGCTGAAAAGTTTTCCTCTTCCTGCCAAGCGCTGTAGCTGTGGTCACAGGGGAAGAGCTGTGGCTTCCTCCCTCACCTGGGTTCTTACTTTCAGAAGGAGGGGATTTTGATTTGGATTCAGAGGGAGAAGTAAAGGAGAAGTTTGCCAGTCTGGCTAACGTGCAAGCATGAACCTTACCGCTTTTATTACTGCACGAACCCTCTTCCTTTCTGTCTCTTTCACAAGTAAGAGGGAAAGGCCCAGTGTTGTTCCCAAGCTCTAGCTCAGGCTGAATAGCTCCCTCTGCAGGGGCATGTGCCTTCTTCTCTCTTGGTCCTTTCTCTGGTGGCTTCGGTGACACCTCCTTTGTCTTACCCTGAAGCTGAGCCGAGCTTCTGATTCCTGAGGCAGAGGCCAGCTTTTCTGGACCCTTCCCAGGCAGAGCTGCTTCCCCTCTTGCACTAGGTTGGGGAATTTCAGGACTTTGAGCTGCGACTTCACTTGTGCCAGGAGACACGAGGCTGCGGTCTTCAGGAGAATGGATCAGTTTTGACTTCCGTTTGAAAGTAAATTTTGACAGTTTAGCCACAGGAGGAAGGGGACTCTCAGCACTTTCGAGTTCAGGGTCTTCCGCATGAGCATGGAGCTTCTGTCTCTTTCTTTTGGGAGTCTGCAGCTCTCTCTCTGGGCCATGTACAGGGGTGGGCTGAGGATGGGAAGGGCTGGTGGGCTGCAAGGGCGGCCCAGCGGGATTCCTGCACAATTCCTGAGCCCTCTCCTTGCGCAGCTTGTGTAGTTTTCTGGGGACACGATGAGTCAGTACTGAATCTAGTTCATCGGCAGATGTTGCTTCAGAAACTGTTGCATTTTTTGCCTTTTCACCCTCAACGCTCTCTGGCCTCAATGGAGCCTCTGTCTCTTCTGGTGCTGGAAGAGCTCCAGTTTCCAATTTGTGACTTTGGCCTGGCTCCCTGTTTCCTCTACTCTGAGATGTGTTATTGGAGATTTTCAAAGCCATTTTCCCCCCACTGGTTTTGGGACTAGGAAACACAGGAATGGTGTTTTTAGGCTCAATGGGACAAGCTGCTATGGAGTCAAACCAGTCCAAACTGTCATCTTGGTTATTTTTGTGCTCAGCTGAATGTCTTCTACCTGCCAGTCTATCAGACCCCAGATGGGATGCGGGATTGAGAAGCAGGCTTCCCCCGGGACTGCCTCCAGCAGGGGACGGACGTGTGCTGCAATTCCTTTCCTGCTGAGTTGATGTCCTGAACTTTAATTCTTCCCCTGGATCACCTCCCAGGGACCCTGGAGTCATCTCTGCTTCCATTGCCTGGGGCTGAGATGGATACACACTCTGATTCTGTAACCTGCAGCAGATAAGGAAAATGTGTATTGCTTTAATCTTTTCATCTCTTTATTCTCTGAGATGCTATCTAAAGGTTTAAGTCCAACATAATTTCAGGCTAATACCAAACAGAGGAGGAAAGTATCCTTTTTCATCAGGATAGAATTCAAGTGCTCCAATAATCATTCTAATTTAACCTAAAACTGTAGTAAAATAAAGAAAGTGGAGTAACAGTTTTGTCCACATTTTCAGATCTCTCTGAAAGTCCATTTCATTCATTTAAGATTGTTTGAAGGTCAGTGTAAAATGCTTAGTTTTCTCTCATGTTAAATGTTCAACTACAAGACAGATGAGTCGCTATGTGCACAGCAGTGGATTGCCGATCAAGAGAAGTGGCTCGAGCTGTTTAGCAGCCAGTCTGCAGATCAGATCCAAACTGAAAGACCAGAGATTACGACCTCTTCACATCTCTTAACTAACTTAGGTACTGAAATTTAGTGCATCTAAAAAGCCACCCTCCTCAAGAGTGAAGAGACTGATTCCTCCGTGCCCGTGGCCCCTCTGGCTCTCCAGCAGTCATGGCAGACCTCCCCCAGGCAGCTGTGACCTCTTTCCTGCCAAGCCCAGCCACATTTCCGCATGTGTTCTGGGCAGCCACTCTCCATCAATCTGATATAGAAACCTACTGACCCTCCCAGAATGATGGAGCTCATCTGTGATAGTCATTTTAAATCTTGGGCAAGTTAGAAACTGAAATATTGGCCAGAGGACCAATTTCTAACAGGGATTATAGCTTCTCAAAAAGAGGTCCTTTAAAAATCCCTTCGTAACAACCTAGAAACGCCTTTTCAGTCTCAGGGGCAATGACCCTGCTTCTATGCCCTAAATCTGAAAAGGAACTACACCAAAAAGCAGACGAGTAAATTATTCTAAAAATCAGGTGTAATCATAAAAGAAGGAATAGAAGAAAACACATAAAAATTAAATGAATTTTAAATTTAAATATATTTAAAAACATTAAAATATTAATGATGCCCCTCTCTGGGAAATAAGATTATGTGCGATTTTTTCTTATTAATTTATTACTGTTACTTTCAAAATACTCTATAAAGACTGTGTATTATTGCTTACAATTGGGGTAAAAAACACTAAAAAATTACTTTTAAAATATTGAGTTATAGTCACCCATACTAGACTTGGGAACATCAATACAGGAAAATCTGGGTTCATGGTAGTCACAGCCAAACTGAAGGGAAACAACAACAACAACAAAAAACAAACCCAACACCAAAGCTTTCAAAATTACTACTATCTGGGGGACTTTCAGCATCATATTGAGGTCATACTCATAATTGCTAAAGCGCTGTAACTTTGAGAATTAATGGGAATTTTAAAGGGTAGAATAATTTAGCCCTACTATTTTAGTCTGATTCTGATTTGGGGGATTGATTTCTCCAGTATGGAAAAGGTCTGCGTCTCACTAGGCCTCCTGAAAGACAGCATCTTCACACTCTTCTGAGGTGGGAGAGAACAGCCACCATTTGAGTCTGACTGTCATCAGCAAAGCATTTTCCCAAAGAAAAGTGAAGAAAATACAAACAGTTTTCTTATTAACATGTGATCTCCTGAAGGAATAGAAAACTCTTTCCAAAGAGAGTAAACCTGCGTGCCCCAGGGGGTTTTCCCACTTGCGAGGATTAGCTTCAGAGTGTGACTTGGAGGTAATTCACTTTCCTTTGTGGGGCACCTGGTTTGTTGCTTTGAGGTTCAGCTCTGGGAACATGCCCTTGCATTTCAAAGAAGTTCAGAAGAAAGGAACATTTTAAGGCAGAATCCTATCTTTTAGATCACCACTTACTCTTCTTTCATTATTCTTCTTTCCCTCTACAGGGTCATTCTGAGTTGAGTAAGCCCAGCTGCTACTTCTCCATCGCACAACACTGAGGCTGAGCCTCTCATTCCTTCCCTTTCCGAGTCCGGTGTATGCCAGCTTCGGGTAGTCAAAATGACCAGTTTCTGGTCACTCAAAACAAGCATTCTCTCCAAAAGCAAAGCCAAGCCCAGGACAGGCCTGACTGAGAAGGATCAGCTACATCAAACCATAAAAGAACCAAAGCAAGAGCTTTGATCTTTAACACCATGCTCTGGATCATGAGAAAGCCAGGAGACCAACTGAAAGAAATGGGGGCTGACTTTAGACCAAGTACCAGTTTACTGCAAGCCGGCACCCGGGTATGAGCAGGACAAAGCCAGTTCCCACACTTCCCAGCAGGCTGTGCTGAGGTTTTATAAATAGAAAGAGAACACTGCTGAATGACGGGAGTGAGCGAATATGAGAGAAATGCCAGGAAAAGAATTCTCAAGGTTTTACTTAAACAGCCAATAATCCCAACATGATCCCCAAATTCTCCGGTGGAGCTGCTCCGCTCCCACATGCCCTCCATTCATCAGCCCCCAGCTTTGAGATCAACCAACACGGGCAACCAGGTTCAGGTCAGTTATTAACCCATTCACACTGGAAGATGCCCAATGGACACACTTGCCATTCCTCACTCCTGTTTCACAGGCACAGACTCAAAGTCTAGCTTTTTAGAAGCCCACATATTAAGGGAGCATGCAAATGGTAAAGTTCAGGCAAAAATTCTTTAGCTAACACATGGGACACATTTCTTTCCATGTGTCCACATTTGTTAACAAGTCACTAGAAAGGGGAGTTATGAAACATTGCTTTTGTCATCCCCGAGTTGTTACCCTGTAGGATGAAAAACAGATTTCCCTCTTTAACATAAAATACATCATTCCCACTGGGGAGTTTTTTTTAGTCTGACTGTTAAATATGTGAATTTTAAAAAGTCATGGGCTTGGGCATACAGGGGAGGAAAATCATGATGCTAAGGAGGCCCTTCCCAGGTGTGAGGCAGTACCAGTTACCTCTACTCCCGCAGCCTTCCCGGCATTCCAGCAAGGCTAGCCTGAAGGCAGTCTGGGCCGTGGTCTTCCCCCTGCGTTTCTTTCCCCAAGGTTATGTAAAGACTAATGATCAAATATTTATTATGCTTGGAAGAAAGCTTTAAAAACAATACGAACAGAATTAAAATATTAATAAGCACTAAGATTCCTTATGTAAACGCCCTTGCATATGTCCTCTTCTGGTGAGGAAAAGTCATACAGCTTGTGTCTGGGTCACAAAACCACTTTAGTCCTAGAGTCCAATTTCCTCTTCCTTAACAGCAGTCCCAGCCACCTCTCTGAACAGCACTGCTCTACTTCTTATACTGAGCCAAAGAAAGAGCAGAGGAAGAAGTGGGGGTAGTGAACAGGAGTAAGCCCATTCACCAAGGTTTCTTGATTCCACAGAAACTGTGCTGTGTCTTGGGTATGAACTGTAGGCAGCCTACCTGGGTGCTTCTCTATACTCAGGACCCAGTGGTATAAATTTACTATATTGTAAAATCATAGATAGTAGATAGTTTACTATACATAGTAAAGGACCAGTCAGTGTTCTCCATGAGGCTCACCGAACCAGCAAGCCAAGGAAATGAAGCTGTGGAAGGTAGTCTCCAAAGATGGCAGCCATCAAGTCCCTCACTCCTTGTAAGTCTACGCCACTTCTCCCAACACAAGGTGCTATCCATTTCCCTTTACCTTGCATGTGGGCTGACCCTGTGACTTGCTCTGATCTACAAAAGGTGGCAAAAGTGATGCTCTGGCCCAGCCCATAAGAGGCCTGGCAACTCCCATTTTTGCTCTTTGGAGCCCTAAGCTACCATGTCAGAATTCTTACTACCTCACAGGAGAGAGAGCCCAGCCAGCCCCCAGACACTTAAGCCACCCCAGCTAAGGCACCACATGTGACGGAAGCCATCTTGGATGTTCCAGTCCCTCTTTAGCTCCCAGCTAAATGCAGGTGTACAAGTGACCCCAGCTGGCACTATGTGGAACGAAGGCAAGCCATCCCCACTGAGTACTCTTGAATTTCTTACTCCTAGAAAACTATGTGGTGTTCTTTTTTTTTTAAGCACTGTGCGTTGAGGTAGCTGATTACACAGCACTAGATAACTGAAATCCCCTACAGATAGTGCAGACAGATTTTCCACTTACTGTATACCTCCTTCGTTTCACTAAAAGCCAAACAAGCACTTTCCATTCTATGCCTTTCTTGGTTTTCCTTTCTCACCTTTCAAGTCTTCTTAGCTCTTCACTCAAGAGGCTGTGCAGCTCCAGCTTTTCCAGAATAAGTTCACACTGCCTCTGGTACTGCTCCAGAGGGTTTTCAGGGAAGGAAGTATGGAGTGCATTCACACCTCCTAGCAGTGCACCTCCCTGATGGGGGAGAAAATGGAAAGTACCAGGGAGAGTCAGCAGGCCAGCCTGCACAGAGGAAGTACAGGGTAGGGACCACTGATCCCAGATGGCTAAGACCAGCCCTCTACACCTCTTCTGTGGGTATCAGAATCACCTGGGAGCCTTTGTCAAATTTCAGTAGTCCTCTCCCAGGATCCTGGTGGCATGCACTGCTCTGGGAAGCCCCACTGTCTCTAGTGGGACCATGAGCACCTCTCAGGTATGTTCAGGAGAAAAAGGATTGAGACCCACTACTTTACGCCAGTGGGTAAAGCAATGCTACTGACGTAGAGACTGTTTCCATGACAATTTTCCCCCTTCTCTTAAATGGTTTCCTTTGGATATATTTCCAGGGATTATTAGGTCTAGAATATGGTCATTTTAATGACTCCGGGTATGCTATAAGTTATCTTTTTTAAAACAATGCTTATAATTAGGGTTCAAATATTAGGTACAAAATATTCTTACCTGCATAGAGGACTCCATTACTGACACCACTGTAATAGCATCTTCCAGAGTCACTGTGTCACGAAACATCAGGCGAGCATGAGCTAATGAGGTGCATTTGAAATTATGAAGATAGGAATTATTTTATATTAATATTTGAGGTGACAAATGTAATACTCTCCCCGATACCCTCATTCCAAAACTGTATTTTATGAATGAGCTACGAATAACAAATAAATTTTACTAGAATAAGGACAAAAGTTTAAGTTCAACTAGCTTTAAGGCTGTTTCTCTAATAATGAGCCAATACTTCCGCACAGCCCATGGCAATTCTGTGAATTTACATGAAAAAGCACTCTCCTCCAGCAAAGAAAGGGGCTATAGAAGCATACATTTAATATTCAGCACCTTTAAATCCTTACTTTCTAATCTATGATAAAATATACAAAATTAGAACTAAAATTCTTTTCTCATCTCTGGCACACCTCTTTATCTGTGAGCTTTTTAAAACTACCAAACTCGCAAGCCTGAATCTTGGGTATTTCTTGCCTTATTGTTAGTTATAAATCCTTGAAAAAGTAAAGTGTATTTGTTTCGTAGAACTTTTTACTAAGCATATATTGCGCCATCATACGATATAGTCAGTTCATGTGAAATTTTTTTTTTTAGAATTATTTAAATAAGAGCTAAATGTAAAAGCTGGTATTAGGGGGAAAAAGGTCTGGAGATGCCTATTAGCTACATGTATGCATGTAAGTCCATGCCTTAGGGATGGGATGGAGCCTGGCATGAATTCAGCATTGTTATGTTAATAATGGGCAGTGAGTGGCAATTGGTGAGAAATAACCAGAGATGCTATATAGGAAACCGTTCCCAACAAGGGAGTACCCCTCCCCAAAGCTAACAGAAGCCGTCGCGAAACAGAACACCAGGAAGTAAGACTTTCTGAATGAATGATGTCTTGAGTTATAGGAAGTTCTGAGATGTCACAAAGATTCCTTCCTTAACCATGCTCCATTCCACTCAACTCTATAATCTGCCCCCAAAGAGTGGAGGTTTCAGCTCCAAGTTTTTACTTTTTAAGCAACTGTGAGCAAGCACCTCGGAGATTATCCTTACTCATCTCTGAATTCATGGTGCCAAGCCCCGTGCCTTGCACACATTGGGTACCCAATAGAAGTATTATTTGTTGAATGAAATAAACCTTCTGCTAATCGTATCAAGCTTTCCAACAGGCGGATAGTTGTCCGGGCAGCATTCCGGGAATCGCTCTGCCTTTGCATCTGGTAGTACCGGAGAAGAACTTGATTCCCCACGTCAGACAGTGTGGGCTGTAAATTCCTAATGAGGCAGAAGTAGGTTTTCATCTTTTCCATGCTCCAAAGCTTCTCTGATTTGCTTGGATAACCTGCATATATCAGGTGTGAGGTCAGTGATTTCTAAGAATAGGCAAACATCCCATATTAAGGGCTTTGATAAAGCTCTTGTACTCACTTTTAAGAAGATAACCTTCAGGTTTCGTGGCCACTGATATCTAGACCTGACTCTGCATAGCACGTAGTTCTATAACAAACAGTCTCGGGCTCTAAGCTTAATAAAGGTACGCTTCCTACAGGCGCTCAATTATTCAGAATAACACTGTTCTGCCATATACGGTAACAAGTAGTACTTGGAAAATCTAATTTTTTAAAGAAAGCCCCACATTTAGAACTCTGTTTCATAAATTCAGTCCCATTTTCATTGTGTGTAAGAGGTGAACTACATGGTGATTATATATCATAAGGCTGCCGCCTTTCATCACAAAGGACATATTTTCCACTATAATCTCATGAACAGCAGGCGGAGAAAGGCCCTTTTCCTTCTGCTCACTGTTCTGGGCTCACTGACTCCTCTCACCACTTTCTGTCTAAGCATCTCTCTACTGCCCGTTAGGTATGCTACTTTGGGTATTTATTTAATTACTTCAAGGAGAATTTTATTTGTGAGGTCTCTGTCTATTTGAGTGATTTGTTTGTCTCCACGTACCTTTGTTTTCTAAGATGAAGGAGGAAATTATACGATCCCAGTCTTCATTCTTGGTATCAAGCAAGACCAGGATCAGGTCAAATCGACTTAAGAGCGGGCTGCCAAGGGCGATGTTCACCGACACAGACTCGTGGGGGTCGTACTGGCCTTTGGGGTTAGTTGCTGCCAGGATGGTGGTCCTTGAGTTCAGCTTGCACACGAGGCTACCGAGAGAGAGGGTGCAATTCACTCACTGTGGAGATTCAAATAAAAAGCAAGATTAAACCTGTTAATAGAAAGGGGCTGCTCTCACACCTTGACAATCCAGAGACATACATGTGAAAGAGACTGTGGAATGATACAAGGGGGTATCAGCAACACCAAGTTCAAATGAAGGACATTTGCACTGGTCTATCTTAAAAGAGAAGTAAATGTTCCATAAACACTTCTTATGCCTCGACTACGAGCAGACCCCTTTGCTAAGTGGTGCTACGAGGAATACAAAGTTAAACCAAACACAGACACTGCCTGCAATCCACTAGCTACAATGGTTAAGACAAGGCAGAATACAGTCAGTTCTAGAAGCATAAAGTTCCCAGCGGAAATAAAGATGGCGTGTATTCATCTATGCGGATGGAAGAGACACTCAGAGACATATTACGAACTAATTCTTGAACTGAGCCCTTCATGACATCTGGACTCTTTCTGTGTGTTCATTTATTTTCTTTCGGTTTTTCTGAAAGTGAAAGAAATGGGCTGAAGAGAAAGGGACGAAGGGAGCAAGGGAAGGAGGGAGGAATAGCAGAAGAAACCAGGAAAAATTAAGGCTGATAAGCATAGTGTTTCTGAGGAACAACCACGATGGGAAGGAAGGCTGAAGAGGTCTTGGCGTGGAGGGCAGGTTAGACGGGGAAGGACCGTGGACGGGACACACCGAAGAGCCAAGTGCAATGGTCCAGGAAGAGGTATATAAACTCTAAACAGAGCAGTGGCAGGGTAGGTGTGGAGATGGCATTACTTAGATATTGTTTTGAAACTTACTAAAGGTGGGCACATTCATTGACAACAACACATGGAGAATTCTTTCTCTGTGAATTTGCACGCTCTCTAGTCGAGGACCGTTTTCAGTTAGAGTAGCATGTCTGCCTCTCTGCAGTCACAGCCCTGTGACATCAGCAAACATGTGCTCCATTTGTTAGTCCCTGATCTATTTCCAGTCGGCTCTAACAATGACCTCATGCCCCAAGACTGAAAAAGTTTGAGAATCTTTATTTGTCGTAAATGGCACAAGAAGACATAGAAGAGAAAAACAAGGCACCTTCACTGAAAACTAAATCTTCTTTTTAAGAAATTACTGACGGAAAAATTCTGGACAGAGTCCACATCATATCATTTATGTGCCAAAATGGCTTTGCAAAGACAGTTGTCTAGAACTCAGAATCCAGTTTGCTGTGCAATCAACATAATAAATGGTTCCTAACTAATCCCACAAAAATGCACAGTTAATCCACATTGAAGTGAGGCTGTTTGCATTTATCATAAAAAAAGAAATATTGCTACAACAGTGGCAATGAAACTAAATACAACTGAATATAAATTAATTTCTTAAAATTATTTTCTGAGAGGTAAAATTGATTGCTCTTCCTCTCTCTGATCAAGAGATATTTACAAGCCATTTCCTGTGTGCAAAGGACAGTACTGAGTATTGGTAGGGGTATACAGCTGGTCCCCACCTTCGATCAGTTTACAACAGAACTGCTGGAGGATGGGGAGGCTTAACACAGAGCCTGCCAGACAGGACGTGCACAATGGATGCTGGCGGCAGAATCAGCATCAGTACCAGAAAGAGAAAATTCTGTGGAGACACCTGGACATCTGTAACATATATACTCTTAAAGTCACCCATGATGTGAGAGGGAAAATGAACACGCAGACACAGAAAGAAGGTGGTGAATTATTCCCAAGGTGCGTGGGGAAAAAATGAAAAGAGTTAGTTTAAGGAAGGGGCCAAGGAAGACTTACAGGTGAAGAAGAAAGGCCTCCTGAGTGGCAGTGAGTGGAAATGTGACAGGAGGAGGGCTGGGCGGGGCAAGGGAGACTCTGTGGGATAGTAAGTCAGGCAGCTGCCAGCAGCAAAGAAGAGGATAGCAACAGTGCCAGGAGGGCAGAGCCGCCTCTGGTCACTTAAAGGAGGGGAA